CCAGGTGGACCTCAGACCAGAGTTCCCTGATTGGGGCTGTTAATCTGGTCCAGTCAGGGAGCCCTGGCTGACAGATAAGCACAGGTGTGTCAGAAGTTCTGTTCACTCTGAAATCTGGATCAATGTCAAGGATTCTCCACGTCTGGAGTTATTTCACTAACCCCATGGACTGCAAGGGTTCACAAAGACAATGCACCACCACTGCTGGTGGTGACACCCACATCACATAATTGAATAAAAGTTGTGTTTCCTTTCTAAAATTGCCTTTTTTTCACATTTCATTCCTGATGACTACACAAGGAAAAACTTCAATTTAATCTCTCTTTTGTGTAATGTTTAAATTCTGATACCAAATTAATGAAGAGGCAGTACCACGTTTTCATGCAACTAGCATAGGCAGGTTGCAAATGATGACTCATGTGCCTGGGTGAATTTTTAGCCCTTATGCCTGAACCCCAGCATGTGTTTCCTGTTTCTCAACAGTTAAATCCCAGACCCCTTGTAGTTATATGCTGGTGTACCAAAACCAACATTGCACTCTACAGCCTATCATTACTGATAGGCTCAAAGTAAAAGAGCAGAAAATCAGACCTGAAGTGTTGGGGAAACATCTGAATCAACAAGCAAGGCAAGTGACCAGAAAACTGACAACTGCAAACTGTTAAATATTTTAAAATACAATCAATTCTCAGCAATCGATTGGGAGAGACATCGATGAAAACAGTTACGAAGAATGTGAATCACTCAGTGATTTTTGAAGAAACCCTGATTGCAATTATTCTCATTGTTTGAAATCTTTATTTTACAATATAATATTTTAAATAGAATATAAACATCAAAATGCATATTTTGCAAGAACACAATTATATTGCTGAATTGCATTGTGTTTTTGTGTAACAATTAGAGTTTTTTTTATTTGAAAAGGCTCAATCCATCCCAAAGAACTGAGTTTGTGATTGATCATTTTTTTAGTAAGACGTAGAAGCTAAATTACGGCCATTCAGCCCATTAAGTCTGCTCCACCATACTTATGGAAATCCTCATCTAACCATAATTACAAGTACTCCTGGCTCATGTCCAGCCTTGTGAAAGACAGCCCCCTGCCAGCTTTGCATATAAATCCTCAATGCAAGGGATTGGGTGTTTATCCAGCTGTGAAAAACAGTTCACTATTTGTTTAAAATCCCCACAAAGGTGAACTGGCCCATTGGGCTTCATAATCAGCATGACTGGTGCTGCCCATTCTGCAAACTGGACTGTTTTGTTGATTCCTTCGCTTTCCAGCCTTCTGATTTCTGCTCTATTTTTGACCGTAAGGGAAATGGCACTGGACAGGTCTTGCAGAATCGTGAAACTGCTTCCTTGTCAACAATGCAAAGTGGTCTTGGCTCCTTTGATAGGCCCTAGACCTTGCTGAAAAACGTCCAGGTATTTAATTAGGACTTCACTCAGGCTGCCATTTTCTAATCAAAAAATGTTGAGCCAATCAAGGTGAATTTTTCTCAACTAATTTTGCCCCATCAAGCTTGGGCCTAAGCCATTTACTGTGATCGGTGGAAACTGAACTAGCTGCTTCTCATAAGAGACCGGAACCGAAGTTGTACTCTTAATCTCTAAAGGTTCACTGGTGTAGGTTCTCATTCTAGCTGAAGTATTGCACAAACTTAAGGGTTGAAGTTTAGAGCAAATTTTGATAAAGACTGGTTGCGCAATCACTAAATCGGCTAAACCAGTATTGACATCTAGTAGAACCAGATGACCATTTAACCAGAAGTTTATTCTGATTGGTTCTAATTTGGATGTTGCTAATCAATTTAACTGTTCCAAACCAGATGTAGGTGGACTTTCCAGGAATGTGCACTCTTCTGGATACCGGTCAATGAGTTCTCTTACTTAATTTAGGTCTAGTGGGACTCTTTTGCTGTCTCGAGTCCGCATACCAGCAGCAGCTACAATGGCTTGCTGGCCCAGATCCTGAAGAAAATGTTAACCATTAGGCCCAGGCTTGCCTTTGTGTTGGTGTTTTGCTGTGGGCTGACCTAGCATTCCTCTGTTCGGGATACGTCCTGAGTGAGGTCATGCAATTGCCTCCACTCAAGTTGTGTTCCCCAAGCTCAGTCGGACTGGCGACAGTGTCCACTTCCATCGGAATACCCTGCAACTCATATGCTCCACTTGCTGCATTTTCCAACGATAAAGCCAGTTGTAGTGCCTGTTTGAACTCCAGTTGGGCTTCTGCTAATAGCTTTTGCATTGTTACATAACTAATCCCACATATCAAATGGTCTCTCAGCATCTCATTAAGGGTTAAGCCAAAGTCACATGCCTCTGCCAGTCATCTCAACTGCATCAAAAATACCAATACGGATTCCCCTGGTTCTTGAATTGCCGAGTAAAACCAATAGCATCTCAGAATTAGGAGACTTAGGGTTGTAATATTCCTTAACTAAATCCGTCAACTCTTGAAAGATTTTAGTATCTGATGGCTCAGGGAATATTAGGCTCCGAATAATCGAAAAAGCTGCGGGGCAACAAGCTGTCAGGAGCATTACTTGTTGTTTTTCCTCTGCCCCAATGGCATTTGCTTGGAAAATATTATTTTTTCCACATACTGTGTCCAGTCTTCGACAGCAGGATCGAACGAGTCAACCTTCCCAAATAACAGCATGATACCAGAAATGCTTACCCCAACTCAAAGACATCTGTTGCTAGTGAATTTTTTCAGGAGTGTGCTTTTCTCTTGTCACCATTGAAATACTCCATAGATGCCAGTGTCCCATCACCAAGTCACCCGTTATTTACACGTGGAGAGTCCTTGACACAATCCATCTTTCTCAGATTGAACAGGATACCTGACACTCCTGTTCTTATCTTTCAGGCAGAGCTCCCTGAATGGACCAGATTAATAGCCTCAATCAGGGAACTCACATTCATTGAGGTCCACCTGGCTGACCTCATTACAATCACTACACTAGACTCTCTCACAAGGGGGAACAAGCTTTACACATCTATCCTGTCAAGTTCTCTAAGAATTTTCTACACTTCAATTAGGTTGCCTCTCATTCTTCTTTATTCAATGAGTACAGACCCAATCTCTCCTCATACGACAGTGCCTCCACACTTGAGATCAGCCTCATGAACCTTCTCTGGATTGCATCCAATGCCAGTATATCTTTCCTCGATAAGAGTCCCAAAACTGCTCACGGTATTCCAGTCGTAATCTGACTAGTACCTCGCATTGATTTAGCGAAACCTCCTTGCTTTTGTACTCCATTGATGTTGAAATAAAGGTCAACATTCCATTTTCCATTTCAATCACCTACTAAACTTGGATGTTGGCTCCAGAGCTGTATTCAGCTACCTGAAGCCAGATTGTGCATTAAGCAGCATGCACAATTTGCAGATGTGTAGTACTAGCCTTCAGTCTCTAGTTCACCAGGGACTATGGGCGGTATATAATGGAAGCAATGGAGAATCGCAAATTCAAACCTCTCTTTGACTTCATGGGACCAAGACAATTTGACAAATTGATCTAAATTGGCTAGGTGGCAGGAAGAGATGATGGTTGAAGGGTATGTTTGTGACTGGAAGCCTTTGTCTGTGATGTACCAAAAGGTTTGGTGCTGGGTCTCTTGCAGTTTGTTGTATGTTATTAATCCAGACATGACTGTAGGAGATATGATCAGCAATTTCACCGATGACATGGACATTGGTGGTATGGTAAAAAGCAAGGAGGAAAGCCTTAAACTATCAGATGATATAAATCAGATAATGTAAATACTCCCATGGAAGTACAAGTATCAGAGGGACTTGGTTTGCAGGTCTACAGATCCTTAAAGGCAGTTGGACAGGTACATTAGGGACACTTGCCTTTATTATTCAAAGCACAGCTGGAGTACTGTGTGTAGTTCTGGTCACCACATTATAGGAAGAATTTGACTGCATTGCAGGAACTTCACCAGGATATTGCCAAGGTTGAAGCAATTCAGTTACGAAGAGAGACTAGATAGGCTGGGGTTTTATTCGGTAGAGCAGAGAAGTCTTGCGGGGAGTGGGTGGGTCTGATTGAGGTGTACAAAGCTCCCAGGGGCATAGACACAGTAATAGGGATAAGGAGAAATGTCTCTCCCCCCCCCCCCCCCCCCCCCAGTAGAGGTGTCAATAACTAGTAGATACAGTTTTAAGGTTAAAAAAGGATGTTCTGAGAGATTTGAGGAATATTCTTTCCAGCTGGATAGCTGGAAATCACTGCCTGAAAGAGTGGGAGAGGCATGAGGAGTATTTAAATGAGCACTTGAAACACCATAGTATCGATCTTGCCTAGCGTACGTCCTGTGCAATGTAACCTCTATGCCAAAGTATTTTTTTGCAAGGTTTGATCTGAACATCCTTGCTGACTATGATCTGCCTGTTCTGCTGGTAAACAAAGCTTTTCACTGTACTCCGGTACATGTGACAATAAACCAATCAATCAATCATACAAGACTGGATACTATCTGCCCCTGTTTTTAATGGTATCAGAATCCTTCATAGTGTCTCTCCGCAAAACCAAAACTCTCAAACCTGGGACCATTTTAGCAAACATCTACTGCGCTCTTCCTAAAGTCAAGTGCTAGAAAATGGGACTCGAATAGATGGATGTTTAGGCAGAAGGACCACTTTCCATGTTGTAAAATTCTATGACTCTAATTGATGGGTAGGGTGCAGACTCATGGTCCCAGGGCAGCGCTGACACATGGAACGTTGCTTCATCTTCAGTTGCTAAGCGACCCGGGAATTGATACACGGATGGAACGTTACCCGGAAATGCAGCGTGTGCGAGGCTAACCAGCGCCTTGTGTCTGTTCCGCCGGGCTGGCTGTTTGAGTGTGTGTGTTCATTATTTACCTTCTCTTTATTATTTTTGCATCGGTAACTGTTATTTTAATAGTAACTACAAAGTACTTTAAAACATTGCATGTTCTTTAACCACATTCATTTCTGTTGCTCACCATGAACAGGACTCCGCTGAAACGATCGAAAATTCTCAAAATGGCGTTGTCCAACTTGGAGCAGGGCAGTTCCGAGTCTTTTATAACGAAAGCAGTGAGAATCGCGTGTGTGGTGGCTATGTACTGGTTTACGTCGATCACGATGGTGTTCCTAAACAAATACTTGTTGGACAGCCCGGATCTGAAACTGGACGCGCCATTATTTGTCACATTCTTCCAGTGTTTGGTGACAGTGTTACTTTGCTGGCTGCTGAATGTGCTTAGCGTTTTGTGCCCAAGTGTGGTGGAGTTTCCTTCAATTGGGTTCGACCCCAAGATTTCCAGAGGGGTTCTTCCTTTGTCCCTAGTCTTTATCGGAATGATTACTTTCAACAATCTGTGCCTCAAGTACGTCGGAGTGGCGTTCTACAATGTTGGGCGTTCCTTGACTACCGTGTTCAACGTCCTGCTGTCCTATGTGATACTCAAACAAACTACATCACTCAGAGCCATATTGTGTTGTGGGGTCATTATAGGTAATGAAGAATAATTTTTACAGTCAGCTTTATGGTCGTAATTTACACAGAAATACTTTTGCAGACGATAATTGCTGCAGTGGACTTTATAATACTGCAGTTTATTATTTGTGCATGCCAGGTAAAAGGCTTTATTTTCAAATCCCGGGTGTCGCTGCATTTATTGCTGGTCGTTAATTGCCCATGAGAACGTGGTGATGAGTTGCCTTCGTGAACTGCTGCCAGAGTCCATGACGAATAGGAACACCATAATGCTATTGGGAAGGGAGTTCTGGGAGTTTGAGCCAGTGACACTGAAGGAACGGTGATCGTTTCCGTGTGTGATTTATTGGGTTGGTGGGGTGTGCGGGGGAGAGGTTATTTTGGAGGTGGTGCTGCTTCACGTGTCTGTTGCTCGTGTCGTGCCCCTTATAGGTGGTAATGGTTGCTGATTTGGAAGGTGCTATCTAAAGCATCTTTCAAGGTTGTTGCAGTGAATCTTGTAAATGGGACGTACTATCACTGCATCGGTGGTGCGGGAAGTGAATATTAAAAGTGGGTAGATGGAGTGCCAATCAAGTGAGCTGCTTTGTCCTAGATAGTGTCGAGCTATATGATTGTTGTAGGAGTTGTGCTCATTCAGGCAAATGGAATGAAGACTGCACCCAGATTTTTGCCATTTAAATTTAATGCACGGATGTTCACAAAATGCTACATACTTTGTACTTCATCAAATTCCTGACTTGTGTGTTGTAAAAGGTAGACAGGCTTTGGGCAGTGGTGAGAATGACCATAGAATTCTCAGCCTCTGACCTGCTCTTGTCATCACAGTATTTATGTGTGTAGGAATGTCATCAAACATTGACACTGTGTCAAAGAAGAAAATAGGAGGGAAACATGACCCTGCTGATTTTTAAAATTCCCTGCAGAATCTTAAAATGATTGAGAATGAGGCAGAAAGGTTTAGGAAGGAAATTCCAGAGGTTAGGACCCAGGCAACTGTTGACATGGTTAAAGAAGTGGGGATCTTTAATCTCTTGAGGGATTATTACCACTGTTTTGCTGGGAGTCTCTTGCTGCAATTGAGTGCCAAGTAGTCCCATCCCTTTGGTAGTCTGGTGAGGAATGGGTTTTAGGTATTAGCACCTTGTTGCTGGGCTAGTTGATTGGGGAAAGGACACCGCTGATATGCGTAGAGACAAGTGCAGAATAGACACTAAACAGATAAACTGTTCATATTCTTACAACTGAGGAATGAAGACTGCACCCAGATTTCTGCCAATTAAATTTAATGCAGGGCTGTTCACAAAATGCTACATACTTTGCGGCAGATTGAGGACAGAATGTGCACTAAACAATAAATTGAGTGGAAGAGCTGAGACATTTCTGGATTTCAGGTACACAAATCCTTGCAATGTGGCCAGACAAACTAATACATTTTGTACTAATTGATAAATGAATGTAATAATTCATAACATCAAACAGCACAGAGGGAAATATTTGACTCAATCACCCTGTGTTGGCCCTTTTGAAGGAGTTATTGAATTAGTCCCATATTCCTTCTGTTTCTCCCTAGCACTGTAGATTTCTCCACTTCATTTTCCTTTTGATAGAAATTATCGGTTTCAATTTTTAAATGTATCAAAATCCTTCATAACTTTGAACACTTTCTACCAAAGCTCCCCTGAACTTTCTCTACTTCATGGAGACTAATCAGTTTCTCCATAAAACCAAAAATTTCAAACCTGGTACTATTTTAATAAATATCTTCTGGCCTCTTCCCAAAATCGTGACATCCTTGTGGGATGTGTGTATTGTTGGCAAGGCTGGCTTTAATTGCTCACTTATAATTACTCTTGATAAAGCACTGTGGTTGTTGTGCTGTTAAGAAGGGAGTTCCAAGATTTTCATCCAGTGACAGTGAAAGAACAATATATTTCCAAGTCTCACACCATCCCAACTTGGATAGGATCTTGCAAGTGGCAGTGCTTCCATGCATCTGCTGCCTTTGTCCATCTACGTGATACAGATCAGGGATTGAAAGGCATCAGCAAAGGAGCTTTGGCAATTTTGATGCAGTGCGTCTTGTTTATGACCCACACTTTGCTTCAGTAGTTGAGAAGGGAGTAAACATTTAAGCTGGTGCATAGGATGCCTATAAAGAAGCCTGCTTCAATGCCTTGCAGAATGAACTTCTTGAATGTTGCTGGAACTAAACTCATCCAGGCATGTGGTGAGTTCTGATCACACTCCTGACTCATCATTTAGATGATAGATAGGTCTTGGGAAGTCAGGAGGTGAGTTACTTGGCAGAATTCTAGCCTCTTCCCTGCTCTTATAGCCAGTGTATTTATGTGGCTCATCAAATTTGGTTTCTGATCAACAATGAGATGATCCAAGAATACTTGACGGAAGTGAGAATTGAAATCACTGAGACGCTGGCCATAATTTTCCCACATGGGCTTGTTAAGGACAAATCATGTTTAACCAACTTGCTTTAGCTTCTTTGAGATAACAAAAAGTTGGTGAGGGTAATGCTATTGATGTGGTATAGTATGGACTTTAGGTTTTGACAAAGTGCTGCACAATAAGTTAAAAGTCATGGACTAAAAGTAGCAACATGAATACAAAATTAGCCGAGTGACAGAAAACAAGAATAGTGGTCAGTAATTATTTCAGCAGGACACAGCCAGGTTGGTGAAATGAGCAGACAAGTAGCAAATGAAATATAATGCAGAGAAATGAGAAGTGATTTATGGTAGAAAAAAATTTGAGAGACAATGTAAAATAAATGGTGCAGTTCCAAGGAGCAGAGGGATTTGATGTATCTATACATAAATCATTGGAGGTGACAAGGAAGTTGAGAGAGCAGCACTTCTAAAGCGCTTGGCATGCTAAGGTTTATCAGAAGGGGCCTAGATTGGAAAAGATAGGAAGTGTTAAACTTGTATAAAATACTGGTTTGGCGTTAACTGGAGTATTGCATCCACTTCTGGGCATGACACTTTAGGAAGGATATAAAGATGCTTACAGTGAGGGTGCGGAGAAGATTCACAAAAACAATTCGAGGGATGAGGAACTTCCATTACATAAAAAAAAGTTTCTGTTCTGTGAAAAAGGGAAGGTTCAGAGGAGATTTGATAGAGATATTCAAAATCTTTTGGAGTCACAACATACAAATAAATAGAGGCGGGTTGAATCGGGAAGCAATTGTATCATTATCCGACAGAAGGAATGGGAGTGTCATTCAGTGAATTGCCCTTTCAAAGGATGGCGTAGTCGCATTGGGCTGAATGGTTCCTTTTGTGCTGCAGTCATTTTATCATAACTCTGAGGATGCAGAAATCGTAATGCTGTTAAACGTCAAAAGGAGATTACTAAATCCTTGTTGGAGGTAATTGTTGTCTACACTTGTGTGGCATAAATCATGTTTACACCTTGTCAGTCCAAGTCTGAATGTTGTCCAGGCCTTGCTGCACGTGGCCTCAGATTGCTTCAGTATCTCAGGAGCTATGAGTGGTGAATGAACTATGCAATCATCAGTGATCATCCGACTTCTGACTTTCTGATGGAAGGAAGGTCATTAATGAAGCAGCTGAAGAACACTACCCTGAGGAATTCCTGCAGTGATGTCCCAGAGTGAGACGATAAGCCTCTATTAACCACAGCCACCTTCCTTTGTGCTAAATATGGGCTTCAACCAATGGAGAGATTTCCCCAGTTCTTATTGATTGTAATTTTGCTCAGGCTGTTTGATGCCACATTCAGTTAAATACTGCCTTTGTGTCAAGGGCAATCATTCTCCTTTCACCAGTGGAATTCATCTCTTTTCCACCATGATCATAACATGGATAATGATATCTGTAGCCAAGTGGCCCTGGTGGAATCCAAACTGAGCATTGCCAAGCAGGTCATGAGTGGATAAGTACTCTCAAGCAGTGTCATCAACATCACTGTTCATTGCTTTTACTGATAGTTGAGAGTTGACTGAGAGGGTTGTAATTGGCTGGGATAACAAGGTGTAGAGCTGGATGAACACAGCAGGCCAAGCAGCATCAGAGGAACAGGAAGGCTGACGTTTCGGGCCTAGACCCTTCTTCAGAAATGGGGGAGGGGAAGGGGGTTCTGAAATAAATAGGGAGAGACGGGGAGGCGGATAGAAGATGGATAGAGGAGAAGATAGGTGGAGAGGAGACAGACAGGTCAAAGAGGTGGGGATGGAGCCAGTAAAGGTGAGTGTAGGTGGGTAGGTGGGGAGGTAGGGAGGAGATAGGTCAGTCCAGGGAGGACAGACAGGTCAAGGGGGCGGGATGAGGTTAGTAGGTAGGAGATGGGGGTGGGGCTTGAGGTGGGAGGAGGGGATAGGTGGGAGGAAGAACAGGTTAGGGAGGCGGGGACGAGCTGGGCTGGTTTTGGGATGCGGTAGGGGGAGGGGAGATTTTGAAGCTTGTGAAGTCCACATTGATACCATTGGGCTGCAGGGTTCCCAAGCTGAATATGAGTTGCTGTTCCTGCAACCTTCGGGTAGCATCATTGTGGCACTGCAGGAGGCCCAGGATGGACATGTCGTCTGAGGAATGGGAGAGGAAGTTGAAATGTTTCGCGACTGGGAGGTGCAGTTGTTTAGTGCGAACCAAGCGTAGGTGTTCTGCAAAGCGGTCCCCAAGCCTCCGCTTGTTTTCCCCGATGTAGAGGCGGCCACAACGGGAACAGCAGATGCAGTATACCACATTAGCAGATGTGCAGGTGAACATCTGCTTGATGTGGAAAGTCTTCTTGGGGCCTGGGATGGGGGTGAGGGGGGAGGTGTAGGGACAGGTGTAGCACTTCCTGCGGTTGCAGGGAAAAGTGCCGGGTGTGGTGGGGCTGGAGGGGAGTGTGGAGCGGACAAGGGAGTCACGGAGAGAGTGGTCCCTCCAGAAAGCAGAGAAGGGTGGGGAGGGAAAAATGTCTTTGGTGGTGGGGTCGGATTGCAGATGGCGGAAGTGTCGGAGGATGATGCGTTGGATCCGGAGGTTGGT